TACTGCAGACCAACTACAAAGAGGGGAGGAGATTCCATTTTTAAAAATGTTCATGGCAATGTAAAACTATAACTTCCAATGTGAACCAATTCATTGAGGCCTTAACATTCATTTGTTGGGAACGGAGGGGGCAGTAAAAATCTGCCATCAGAGCCAATTGGGGAGCGGCAGGCTGGAAAGGTCAGAGCTGGCTAGGGATGTGCAACTCCTTGACTTTGTTAAAATGATGGTATTCGACAGAAGTTACATCTGAGGTCAAGTGACCGCAATAACAGAGGACAAGGAGCGCTCTCAAATCATTCTCGGGGATGAAAATGACATGGAACTGACATAATATCTGAGGTGAGATGAAACTCAAATCCTCAGCTGCTGAACACTTCACCTACTGATGGGCAGCCTGACCCTCGCCAATCTCATAATCATACCGGTGTCAAGAGGGGACGGGTCTCCAGCAACACAAGGCGCAGCTCCGGGTGTTTGGGAGGGGGTGGCGGGAACAGGACAGAAGGCTTTGTCTCTGCTTCAGAAATGATGTTGTTAAAAGTTTCAATACTCAGCTTGAAACCTTTCAAATCAATGTCTTATTAGAAAAATTGGATTCCGCCTACATGCATGGAATCTCTTCCCCTATGTAATTTTTCTCCTCTGGGCATTCTTGGCTAGCATTTTCAGCAATAAAAAGTGTGTTTGAGTTCAAAAAAAAAAAAAAAAAGAAAATGGTATGGGCTGGGAATGTGCCTTAGTGGTAAAGTGCTTGCCTAGCATGCATGAAGCCCTGGGTTTGATTCCTCAGCACCACATAAACAGAAAAAGCTGTAAGTGTCGCTATGTTTCAAGTGCTAGAGTGCTAGCTTTGAGCAAAAGAAGCTCAGTGACAGTGCCCAGGCCCTAGGATCAAGCCCCAGGACTGGCAAAAAAAAAAAAAGAAAAAAGAAAGAAAATGTTATGTCCTCTGGAGGAATTGTTTTTCTGATTGGTTTTTATTGGGGTGAAATACACATAAAATTCATCATCTTAACCATTTTTAATCGTGCAGTTCAGGATATAAGTGCATTTAGAGCATTATGCAACCATGACCACTATTTGCCCAGAAACTCCTTTCATATTACAAAATTTAAACTTTGTAGCCTTTGAACACACTCCTCATCCTGCCTCCACCCCCAGCCCTAGCTCCTATAAGAGCCTCATGTGAGTAGACCATATAGTAACAGCTTATTTTACTTTGCATAATATCCTCAACATTTATTCATATCCTAACACATCAACACAATACTCTATTGTGTATATTCACCTCAGTCTGGTTTTTTCATTCATCTGTTGGTGGACATTTGGCTTGCTGTGTTTTGGTTATTGAGAATAATGTCAATGTGTGCACATATCTCTTCGAGACCCTGCTTTCACTTCTTTTAGGTATCTGGACAGAATTGGGATTGCCTGGCCATGTATTAATTCTATTCTTAATCTCTTGAGGAACCACTGTACTATTTTCCATAGTGGATGCAACATTTTCATTGCCCAAGGGTTTCAATTTCACTTTGTCCTTGCCAGCACCTGTTATTTTTGTGTTTTGTTAATAGTAACCAATAGTAACAGGATGAGAGGGTAAAAAGGCTTTATATCATAAAGGTGTTTTTTTTTGTTGTTGTTGTTTTTGGATTTTTTTTTGGGGGGGACTGTTGTGGGGCCTGAACTCTGGGCCCCTAAGCACTGTCTGTCACTCTTCAGCTCAAGGTGAGTGGTCTACCACTTGAGCCACAGCACCACTTCCAACTTTTTTTTTCTGCTTATGTGGTGCTGAGGAATCGAACCCAGGGCCTTATGCATGCAAGGCAAGTACTCCATCACTGAGCCACCTTCCCAGCCCCTCATAAAAGTTTTAGATCATAATCTTCATTGGATTATAAAAGAGTGTAGATAATTTTACATTGAAACTAAGAGATACAATAAAAATGATCTCAGATGGTTAACATGTGTGGTCATGCAAACTGGCTCTGGCTCGTATTCTCTTGCTTCTGTTTGCTTTTTCTTTAACTTGCAGAGGTTGCCCTACACATGCAGGGTTTGTCTTCTGCTTTTCACCTAACCTTATGCCATGAGAGCTTGACACTGTTTAGGCTTGTGCCAATCAATGTAGAGTGCACACATCTTTAAAGTGAAGTACTGAAAGCAGAGTCTTGAGTCTCACTGGCTTTACCTGGAGGCAGGGTGTGAGTGCCTGCCCTGGGCTGCCCAGTTCTGTTGTGTGTGGGTTGAGCGATGGCGCTTCTCTTTATGACAGAGCCCCCTTGTCCTTTTAGTAATAGTTGACACTTATTACAGGCCAGTGGCCTGTAAGTGTCTCTCACCTATGAACTCAGAATGGTCATGGCTGCCCTATGTATGTCTCATGTATGAACTCAAGAATTGTCATGGATGTTCTATGTGGTCTTATGTGTGAACTCAATCATCATGGCTGCTCTATGTGGTCTTATATGTGAACTCAATCATCATGGCTGCTCTATGTGTGTCTAATGTATGAACTCAGAATCATCATGGCTGGTCTATATGGTCTCATGTATAAACTCAGACTTGTCATGGCTGCTCTGTATGTGTCTCCTGTATGAACTCAATTGTCATGATTGTTCTGTGTTTTCACATATGAACTAAGAATTGTCATGGTTGCTCTACATGGTCTCATGTTTGAACTCAGTCATCATGGCTGCTCTGTGTGAGTTTCACTTATGAATACAGTTGTCATGGGTGTTCTATGTGTGTTTCACGCATGGACTCAGAATCATCGTGGGTGCTCTATGAGGGAATGGCCTTTTATTCCCATTTTACAGAGAACACTAAGGTTCAAGTATGTGTACTATGGGTGGGAGGTGGTGAACATCTTGCCATGCAGGCTGTGTGAGCCCAATATTCTCAGCTACTCCATGGTTAGTGACAGTGTTTTCTGGGGCTGTAGCAACAGCTTTTCCATGCACCAGGAGCAAGGCTGCTGCCTCAAATCTGTTCCATGTCGGGAGGAGTGGCCCCAGCCCTAATGCAAAGCAGAACAGGGTGGGGTGCAGTTCTGCACTTAGCCTTCCTTTTAGGTCAGTGTGGCCCTTGTCCTCTGCAGAGGACATGTGGGTAGTTTCTTCCAGGACAGTTGTGAGCTGAGGCTTTTTACTGACAGCCCTCCTGGAGGGAGAGAGAGAGAGAGAGAGAGCATGCATGCAACTTGCTGATCCACATCTATGAGTAGGGTTTCTGCTGCTCTTTTTTTTTTTTTTTTTTACAGCAGTCCCGTAAGGGTTTCCTGTGGCCACCTTTTGGCACATGCATCAAGCCTGGGCCTTTGGCTGTTCTGAAGGGCCTGATTGTCACTGCCTTGCTTCTGTCCTCAGGATGTGGGGCAATCAAATCGGGGATGAAGGAGCTGTAGCTTTCGCAGAGGCTCTGAGGGACCACCCCAGCCTGAACAACCTGAGGTAACACTGCTTTGGGAGCCAAAGGTCTGCCTGTATTGGAGAGGAATGGCTCTAGGGGCCCTGGCATCCCTAATGGGGGGATTTGCTTCTGTGATTTCTATCTCTTCTTAAAAGGTTTTTCTTGATGTCTAAGAGGCATTCAGGAAGGTGCAATTCTTTCATGTTCAGCTCAGTTCTACCCTCCTACATACCCATACCTCTCACATTACAGTGTGACCACACCCAGACCCCTCCCCCCCACACACACAGTGTCACCACACCCAGATCAAGAAGGGACACTTTCAGCCCCTGGGTCATTGCAGGCTTCTTGTGGGGAGGAGGGATAAAACTGAAAGGATGCTGGCCATCAGATTGCTGCCCCTTCCTCAGAATGAATGGTGGGGACAAGGGACCCTTCTCTGAACACAGCTGCTGCTTTCCAACCCTCCTTAGGCTCCACCTAATCCCAGAACTTTGGGTCTCCTGAGGTGAAAGGTAGTCTGAGGTAGGGGAGGGCACTGGCAGAAGGTATTTTTTTTGTGTCTTTCGATGGGGAACCTTCTCCATGTCTTGTCAGTGGGTCCCTGATGAAACCATCAGATGAGGCACATCTCCCAGATGTCCTTGGTCCCCAGCCTGAATGTTCTGCATCCATTTCTGCCTGGCCTCTCCTGGAGCAGTTTCGTACCTGCTCTCTGCTGACCGTGCAGAGTGCTTCTGCTTCCTGCAGAGGTTGGCCAGGCCAATACCACATCCAGATGGAGACTTTCCAGCTGATTGGGGGTAACACAAAGGACAGATGTGGAGGTGTTTCTAGTAATCCATCTCAGGTGTTTTCCTTCCTAGTCTTGCGTTCAACGGCATCTCCACAGAAGGAGGGAAGAGCCTGGCACAGGCCTTGAAGCAGAACACTTCTCTGGAGATATTTTGGTAATGATCACAGTTATTTTCCAGGGTTGGGTTTGGCTCATAAAACCCTAGGCTATGCACAGTGAGCATCATAGTCAAAAAGATGCTCTGAGAGGTCTGGCTCAAGTGATAGAGTGCTAGCCTTGAGTGAAAAATGTTCAGGGACAGCGCTCAGGCCCTGAGTTCAAGCCCCAGGACCAGCACACACACACGGAACAAAGACTGCCTGTATTTGAAGTGTTCTTATGGCATGGTCTCTCATTCTCCACACTTGGCATTTGGTTTGAATTTTTTGGTTGGGAATGTGTGGTACATTTGTGGGTGTCCATGGCATCTTTGGCCTTTACTGTTAAATACCAGGAGCCTCCATCCCCCAACTATGACCATCAAAACCATCTCCAGACTCTGCCAAGGGGTGAGTGTGAAATGCCTAGGTTGAGAACTGTTCTGCTACATGAGCAGTGATAATGCCTGGTACCCAGACTAGTGAGCACTGCATGTGGTTACCATTCTATATCTTCTGCGTGTGCTCACTCAGTCTCACAACCACTCATGAGGGCTGTGCTGCCACCATTTATATCTAATTATGACTAAGCTCAGACCCAGAGAAATTAAACCTCTCCTGACCCTATACTGCTGACAAGTGCTACAAATCCAGTAAGCCTGGCTCAGCCTCCCAGACACTGCCCCCTGCTGCCTCCTGACTCTGCCTCACCACCTCAGGGCTACACAGAGCCCACAAGTGGATGTTCAAGGTCATGTCTTTTTACTGACAGGTAAATTATTATTCAGATTTTATACTGTGACAGTACACAGTGTGAACTGCAAGGTAGAAATCTTTTTTTTTATTGTGAAAATACTGTACAGAGGGGTTACAATTACATGGGCAAGATAATGAGTACATTTCTTATCAAGCATTGCAGCCTCCTTTGTTTCCCCTTCCCTAGAAATCTTCTTTGAAGCTTTTTTCCTAGTACTTTTGAACCCAGGGTCTTGCAGATGCTACACAAGCACTCCTCCCCTAAGCTCTATGTTCCCAGGATCCCCTTATTTTGGCAGTATTGGGACTTGAACTTAAGACCAATGTCTGTTCAGCTGTCTCTACCACTTGAGCCATATCTCGAGCACTGCTTTTTGATGGTTATTTTGGATATGGAGTCTAATGGACTTTCTTCTGCTTGGTAGACTATAGAAACTCAATCCTCTGGATCTCAGCTTCCTGAGTGGCTAGGAGTATGGGCATGAACCACAGATACCCAGCCATCAAAAATCTGTTGAGACAGGGCCTTGCCAAATTGCTCAGGCTGACATCAAACTTGTAATCACAGAGCCCCTACTTGCTGAGTATGCGGGAATGAATGTGTGGCCACTTGTCCTGTTATGCATCTTGCGTGAGTCAGTACATGTCTAAATCTGATTTTGTCTTAAAATTTGTATAAGGCAAGATCAAAGTACCCTTCAGGGAATGCTTTTAAATGATGTTCTTTCTATTCTGGTGTCCTTGGTTAGTTGGCACTGTACCATTTGACTTACATCTCCAGTCTAGCATTTTGCTGTTTATTTTAAAATGGGGAGTTATTTTAAAGTGGGGAGCTCAGTGCCCAGGCTCTGAGTTTAAGCCCCAGAACTGGTGGGCATGCATGCATGCACACACAGACACACAGACACACACACACAGACACACACACACAGACACACACACACACACACGAGTCTCTCAAGGACTTTTCTACCTGAATTGGCTCATCTCCAGATTGTATCCTCCTAAGTAATTAGGCTTACAGGCATGAGTCACGGGGGCCAAACTATTCTGGTATTCTCATTTTCTCATCCACTAGAAGAAAAGAGCCCAATGCTTTGGATGTGCAGGGCTTCTTTGCCTTTCCAGAGCACTACTGGTTTTAGATACTGGAGATGCTTCCTGAGCTCTCACTTGTGAATTAGGTCCTTGGCAGCTGGCCTCCGTGCAGTGCTGAACTCAGTTTGTGCCCTCCCAAGTCTCCAGTCTGATTGCATAGCATGCTCTCAGTGGCATTGAGGTACCTGAGGGCTGGAGACTAGAGATGCAGTCCCTAGCCCTCAAGAATAGATTTTTCTAGCCTTACCATACCCAGTTGCTGTCCTCTGCATACAGGAAGGCAGGATTTGCACTTGCACTGAAACACATGTCTGCTACACGGTGGTGAAGCTGGGCTAAGCCTGGCTTTCAGCACCTGGGGGCTGCGGGGCTGGAAAAGCCTGGCCTGGAGTGCCACTTGTGTGAACAAATTTGCAGTCTGCCTGCCCAGTACTCCAAACTCAACACTTTCTCTCTTCTCTAGGCTGACCAAAAATGAACTGAATGATGAAGTGGCGGAGAGCTTTGCAGAAATGTTGAAAGTCAACCAGAATTTGAAGCATTTGTGGTAACGTAGGCTGTATAACTTCTAGTTGTTGTTGTTCTTGTTTTGGTCATGGGACTTGACCTCTGGGCCTGGGCATTGTCCCTCAGCTCTTCAGCTCAAGGCTAGCGCTCTACCACTTGAGCCACAGTGCCACTTCTGGTTTTCTGAGGGTTTATTGGAGATAAGAGTCTCACAGGTGGGTGGCTGGTGGCTCACACCTGGAATCCCAGCCACTCAGGAGGCTGAGATCTGAGGATCGTGGTTCCAGGCCAGCCTGGGCAGGAAAGTCCGTGAGACTCTTATCTCCAGTGAACCACCAGAAAACGGGAAGTAGGGGTGTGGCTCAAGTGGTAGAGCACTAGGCTTAAGTGAAAAAGTTCAGGGATAGTGCCCAAGCTCTGAGTTCAAGCCCCATGACTCACAAAATGAAAACAAAATAAAAAATGTTAGTGGGGGGGGGGAGGATGGGAAGGTATGGGAAGGGGAAACAAAAGAGGAGGCTACAATGCTTGATAAGAAATGTACTCATTAGCCGGGCGCTGGTGGCTCACACCTGTAATCCTAGCTACTTAGGAGGCTGAGATCTGAGGATCGCGGTTCAAAGCCAGCCTGGGCAGGAAAGACCGTGAGACTCCTATCTCCAATAAACCACCAGAAAACCGGAAGTGGCGCTGTAGCTCAAGTGGTAGAGCGCTCGCCTTGAGCTGAAGAGCTGAGGGACAGCGCCCAGGTCCAGAGTTCAAGCCCCACAACGGACAAAAAAAAAACAGAAATGTACTCATTATCTTGCCCATGTAATTGTAACCCCTCTATACAGTATTTTCACAATTTAAAAAAAAAGAAAAAAGAAAAAAAGAGTCTCACAGACTTTCCTGCCTCGGCAGTTTCCCCCTGCCTTCCCCTTGCCATGCCAATGACTGACCTTCCTCAGACTCTATGTTGGGCATTTCATGTAAGTGGAATTGACATTTCCTGAGCTTGTTTCTACATTCTGCTACTAAGTTTCTATGCTCGATCTATATGTGTACCACTGCTTTTCTGCTGGGGAATGATCCTCCATTGAAAGGATATGTGACATGTAAGATATTGGGGTTGTTTCTACTTTTTAACTGTTAGGAATAATGCAGCTGTGACAGTCCATGCACATATTTTGTGAGAATATGTTTTCATTTCACTTGTCTCTCTCTATACTTAAAATAGACTTCTAGGTGCAATGGCAATTCAGTGTTTGTTTAACATTTTGAGGAACCACCAAACTGCTTTCTGAAATGATTTTACTGTTTTATATTCCCATCAGCAGTTAATAAGGATTCTCATTTATCTGCCTCCTTTCATCCATGGTATGATTGTCTGTGTTTAATTTTAGCCACACCTGTGGGTTCTCAGTGACACCACATTGTGGTTTTGATTTGCATTTCCACGGTGCATCTTTCCAGGCATCTGTTACTGCCTTCTCATCTTTGAAGAAATGTTTCCACACCCTTTGCCCATCTTGCAATTGTGTTGTCTTTCCATTGCTTCATTGTTGGCATTCTTTGGACTACTAGACTTTTATTAGGTTTACATATATTTTCTTTCTTACTATGGCATTTCCTCTTTCTTGATATTCACCTCTGAAGTATAGCAGCTTTGGCCTGTGAAATCTGATTTACCTACTTTAGCTTTGGGCTTTGAAGTCTGATTTTTCTTCACTTGCTTGTGCTTGTGGACCTTCCCTAAGATTATCATGTTTAATCCAGGATCACAAAGATTCACACCTAAGTTTGTGGTTAAGTACTTGGAGCCGATTTTGTGTGTCATTCAGAGTGAGAGTGTGGCCCATTGCTTAGCACATGGATGTGCAACTTGAAAAGACTCTGTTGGGTGAGCTTGACACAAAAATGTATGTCCAGAATGTATTCTAGTTGTTCATCTATGTATCTTATTATAAGGGTACACTTTGTTTTTCTGACAGGGTCTTTCTTTGTAGCCTAGGCTGGCCTTGAACTCATGATTTTCCTACCTGTACCTCCCAGCTGCTGGGATTGCAGGTGTGTGCCATCACACCTACCTGATTTGTCTTATTATTGCTTTGACATCAGTTTTGAATCCAGGAAGTGTGAGTCCAGATTTTTTCTTTCTCATGATTGTTTTGGCCTTTTTGGATCTCTTTCATTTCCACGTGAGTTTTAAATGACCTTGTCAGTTTCTGCAGAAAAAGCCAGATTGTGCTGCTTTTCTCTTTCTTCCTTTTCTGTTCAGTCTGTGGATATCTTCTCTGCCCTTCCCCAGGCACTAGGCCAGCCGCTCTTGGCAGAGCCTGAGGGGCTGGAGAAGTTCTGGCTACTTGGTGCATGCCCACTGGATGAAGTCATGGCGGGGGCAGAGGTGCCTGGCACTGCCTGACTTCGCAGGCAGCCTGCCCTACCACCATTGAGGTATGGGGCTGGCAGTGGCAGCTACTGTGAATATGGTAACTAGAAAACAGGAAAGTCTAACTGGATGCAGTACTCCATATCCACTTCTGTGGCCATGCTCATTGGAAGGCTATCATCTCTGCCACTGAGGACAGGGGGTGAGGTGGGACATGGGTCCCACAGCAGTCCAGCTACCTGTGGTCCTGTATGTGGGCAGCAATGGTAGGATGGCAGGGAGGTAGATTTGCTAGAGTGCCCTGTGTGCATATGTGTGCAGGTATGGAAATAACAGCACAGATAAGCCCCTCATAGTACAAGTGGACACTAACTAAAAACAACAATAGCAACAACAAAAGAGCTCCCTCCATTGGGTCCTGGGCTCTATGTTTTTGCTTGGCTTTTTCCCTCAAGGCTGGTGCTCTACCATTTAAGTCACATGTCAGTTCTGGTTATTTTGCTCTAATTGGAATGAAAGTCTCTGAGATTTGTCTTCCCAGGCAGGCTTTAAACTATGATCCTCAGTGTTGGCCTCTTGAGTAGCTAAGATTATGGGCATAAGCACAGGTGCCTGTCTTTGGGGTTTCTTTGGTAGAGAGTTGTTTGTTTTTGAGACAAGGTCTTGCTTTGTAGTCTGGCTGGCCTCAAACTCACCTCAAACTCTTGCTTCAGCCTCTCCAGTTCTGGGATTAAAGCTGTGCACCACCATGCGGGGCTTTATGCTGCCTCTTTGAGGCAAAGCCTCTCACCCTGGTTCTGTATCCCTATCAGTCACAGTTGCATCATACACCTTCCTGGCAGGGCTTCTCCTAGGTCAGTATAACTTCCAAGAGCCAGGTTTGGTGGTAGCCTGTCCAGTAGACAGCTGGGAGTGAGGAGCACTCACTCCTTTACAGACACCTGGTGGACCTGGCCTGCACCTGCTCTCAATTTGGGTTAGGGCTGTTGTGCTCAGGTCAGCTCCCAGCAGTCCTTCCCAGCCACATCAGAAACCTGGCCCCATTGGATTGGGGTCACACAGTGGCACCTGCATTCTTAAGAGCCCCATGCTCTGCCTTCCTACTGCATCCTAAACAGCTGCAGCAGAATCATTTTCAAGTCTTGGATGTAGAAGTTGGGGGATGTGATGCAATCTTAGAAGCTTTTTGGTACCACAAAGAACAGGAGGCAGCAGAGCCTGTGCCCTGGTAACATGTTCTGGAATTTGTGATTCAGTCTGCACCTTCTGTCCTTAAGGACACCTCTGCAAGAAAAAGACAGACAGACAGACAGACAGACAGACAGACAGACAGACAGACACACACACACACACACACACACACACGTTCCTAGATTACAGTGACATGTTCTGGAATTTGTGATTCAGTCTGCACCTTCAGTCCTTAAGGGCACCTCTGCAAGAAAAACTGACACACACACACACACACACACACACACACACACACGTTTCCTGGATTACAACCAGCAACACACACACACACACACACACACACACGTTTCCTGGATTACAACCAGCATAGGAATCTTGGTATATTCACACACACACGTGTTCCTGGATTACAGCCAGCATAGGAATCTTGGTATATTCTGCTCACTATAAAGATTTGAAACATTTTAAGGGCTGTTATTCTCGTGTACTTGAGAGATACCCTTATCCTGGCAGGGTCATGAGCATTGATCCCCGATTCCCACCCCCTCTCTTGCCCCACCAGGCACCACCTTCCCCTGTGGAAGAGGCAGAGGGGACTCAGTGTTCCATCTTGGACATAGGTCTGCTCTTCTTTCAGGCTCATCCAGAATCAGATCACAGCCAAGGGGACTGCGCTGCTGGCAGAGGCCCTGCAGGAGAATAGTAGTCTCACGGAGCTTTGGTAAGGCCACCTGCCTGTCAGAACCACAGACAGTGGACTTTGCATGGTGCCAGGCACCCCACAGTGCTGCTCATGATAGATAGAGGAAACAAGGCTCAGACTAGACCAGTAAACCTTGCCCAAGGTCAGGTATGAGAGCAGAATAGAATTCACCTAGCCTGTCAGCATCCTGGTGGGTAGCATGGGAACACCAGCATGTGACATGTTCCTGCTGTGAGTGAGTTGCCTGGCTATGAGCAAGAGGGCCTATGCAGGCCTGTGGGGATGGGCCTGTCTCTGCTCTGGGCATTCTGGGGTGCAGAAGTCTCCCTCAGACTGGGGTATATGTGTAGTTTCTGGAGTTTTAAACTCAGGAAATTACATTCTACTACTTGAGCCAAACCTCCATCTGTTTTGAGGTTTTGTGGCAGTTTTTCGCTTTGGTTATTAGTTTTTCTCTGTCTAGTGAGTGACCTTTGTCCAGGCTGCAGTTAACTGTGCCTGGAGACCTGTGCTTGGCTTTTGCAAACACAGACTGAGTAGTTAATTTCATTCTGAAGTTTATTCCAACCTCATTTCCCCCAAAGAGCTTAAACCCTGAGTCCTTGGTACCCTGTCTTCTAAGTGGTATCTGTTGCAGTCATATGTAAGTCCTCCAGGTGTTGTGTCCTCATTCTTTCAAGCAACTCGGTGCCTGAATGCCAGGTCCTATGATGGCACAGACCCTGGGGTTCACCAGCTAGACAGGGAGCTGCATAGTAAGGGGATGCAGACATTTGCAAGATGACTTAGTTGTAACCATAAGAGCTCCATATAAGAAGGTGAGGAAGGGCTCTGACACAGATCGCTCAGGGAAGGCCTCCCTGAGGAAGGGGTAGGAAAACAGAGCCACAGAGCCTGCATGGGGGGCCCGAAAGGGGCTCTGGGGCTTTCCAGGACTTGCCAGATAGAACAGAACTTTTGTGTTAAAAGGACTCTGAGGATGGAAGAAAGGCATATGGGTGGACTCTGGACACCACCTGACAGCCAGATAAAAAGGGAGACCAGAGTGTGGGAGATGTCCTAGGGAAAATGTCCCAAAGGAAACTCGCCCCTCTGACCTGCAAGTATCAGAGATGAGAGGTCAGAGGTCCATGCCCTGAGGGGGATAGACAGGAAGCTGAGGGAGCCTCCCAGTGTACAATGCCAAGCTGAGGGAAGGCGGTGCTTCAGGGAAGAGGCAGGACAGCCAGATGCCTGGGAAGTCCAGAGGAAAGAAAAGATCTGAGGAAATGTCATTAAAGCTTGCCTGGCAGAGGCTGTTGGTTAAAGAGATGGTGGCTGAGGACCAGTGCCAGCCCCTGAAGTAGTCTCAGAGTACTCATGAGCTGAGCAAGCACTGAGGCCACCACCAGGAAGGGACATCTGCCAGCCCCTAATGCTTTGTGTAAACAATGTGTTTTTCCTTCCAGTCTAAATGGAAATTTGATAAAGCCAGAAGAAGCCAAAGTGTTTGGAGATGAAAAGCGGCTCATCTGCTTCTGAAGGATGTTTCGGGCTGGGTCTCAGCCCTGTGTCAGCCAAAGGCACCTTGTGCAGTCTGCGAGGCGGAGTGGAGCAAAGAGGCCGTCAGGAACTCCTCTGGTGGCTTGAACTGATGCCTGCCCAAGTTTCATGGGCTGTTGTAGTCACTGCACAGCCAACAGTACTGTGTCTTATTATACTGTGAAAGGTGCACAGTGTGTGTCTGTGATTATTTCCCCAGATGCTGAAGAAGGAAGACCACAGAGAACAAAGAGGCTGAAGAAGGAGAACTATGGAGAATAGAAGAGGCTGAAGAAGACTACAGAGAACAGAGACTGAAGACAACTTTGGAGAACAAAAGCAGCCTCAGGCACATAGCACTTGGCCAACCTGTCTGCAGAGCCAGGCTATTTTGTTAGAGGCCAGGTGCTGGAGAACAATGTCAGTTCCTCCCCACTGATGGCTGATGTTTCTGTGACAGCTGAGGTTGGTGTAAGATCATCACAGGCATCTAAGAGAAAGGTCAATCCACTCTCTGCCCTGCAGGAACAAGGCCTGGCTTGCTTGAGGGCCCTGGCATCAAAGGGAAATCCTCTCCCTGCTTCTGAGAAGAGAGGTCTCTACTTCCCCCAGACATGGGGAAGCTGAACAAAGCAGAGGCTCAGGGGCTGCTGAGAACTTAGCCCTTACAACACATCAGACATCCACTTTCATAGTTTGGGGGGTGTGTCCAATGGTGTGGGTGGTGATAGTACCATAATGCTTGTTTCTTTGCAATTCATTTGTTAATAAAATACTGCAAATGCTTACTTTTTTCTTTTGTTGGTCCTGAGGCTTGACCTCAGGGTCTGGGCACTGTCCCTGTGTTTTTTCATTCAAGGTTAGTGCTCTACCACTTGGGCTACAACTCTGCCTCTGGCTTTTTAGTGGTTAATGGGAAATGAGGCTCATGGACCTTATTGCCTGGGTTGGCTTTTGACCATGATCCTCAGATCTCAGCCTCCTGAGTAGCAAAGATTACAGATGTGAGCTACAGTGCCTAGCTAATACTATTTCTAATGGGATTTTTTGAAGGAACTTGTCTTTGAGCTTGAACCCCACTTTTAACTTGCTGCACAGGGGCTCTTGGGAAGTGATTGGATCATGAGGGCTCTGATTTCATAAATACATTAATAAATTGATGAGTTTGTAATTTAAAGGGACATTGGGAAATGAGGCAGGCTCTAGGAGGCAGAGCCCAATTTGGAGGAAGTAGGTCATTGGTGTATGAACTTGAGGGGTATGATCTTGAGAGGATCCTGTTCCTCTCTCCTGCTCCTCTGTCTTGTCTGTCTCTCTGCCTCCCTCCCTCTTCTTCCTCTCTAACCTTCCTGGCAACCATGAGATAAGCAGTAACTCTGCCACAATGTTTTGCCTCACCCCAGGCCCAGAAACAACCAAATAACCATGGACTGAAAATATAAACCAAAACAGCCCTTTTTTCTTTAAGTTGATGATTCCTCTCAGGCTTCATGTCACAGCGATGGAAAGCTAATATAGCTGCTAAAACAGGAGTGTGAGGTTTGTTGGCATGTTGGTCCATATCTATTTTTGACCATACATTCTCCAGTCCTAGCATGAGACTGGAGCAAAGGAGGTGAATGGGTAACTCCAGGGAGCGGAGGTCATATGGGAGTGAATTTTCATTATGAGAGCAGCAGATGTCCAGTCCTTAATCCATTACATAAAGTAGCCCAAAAGAGTTGGCGGGCATGGACCCTGAAATGTTGAAGTAAGTTCAAGCCAAAGCATACTGGGCTAATAACCATGTTATCTTAAACCCATTCATTGATGAGCTAGAAGATGTTATTTGGGGCATAGACATGAGTGAGGCCAAGGATACTATAAGATAGTATTTGTCAAGTTCTCTAAGTCTGAGGGTGCAAATTCCAGTGCTACTATGACAGTGTGACCTTGGGGAGATGACTTAGCTTTTCTGAACTTGTTTCCCATCTCTTAACATGGGTTGATAAAGCAATGATCCCGTGCAGGGTTCTTTGAGTAGATGAGTTTATAGAGTGTGAAGTACTTAAAACATTTCCTGTAGGCAGCCAAGGCTCTAGAAGCAGCAACTCATGTTACCTAGATGGATCTTTCCCCTCCAGCCATGCAGAAGGGAAACCCAACTCACACACCACAAGGAGGAGGAAATGCTCGCTCCTAATGCCTCAAGACAACATCACTGCTCCACATGGAGAGCAAAGTCCAGCCAAGTCCAGATGGCACACCCAGCACATGGGGTAGGCAAGCCAAAGCCCATTTGCATTTGATGGTGGAATGTATGATAGTTTTAACTTCTTCCTTCCTTTCCTTCCCATTAATGTCCTTTTCTTGCCTTATTGCTTTGGCTAAGGATTCCAGAACTATACTGAAGAGGACTGGAGAGAGTGGGTATCTTTGCCTTGTTCCTGAGTTTAGGAGAATTGGTTGTTTTTCCCTGTTTAGTATAATATTGGCTATTGGTCTGTCATATATGGCTTTTACTAAGGAACATTCCTTCTATTCCTATTTTCTCCAGAGCTTTTAACATGAATTAATGTTATATTTTATCAAAAGCCTTTTCTGTGTCAAAATAGAGATGATAATGTGGTTCTTGACCTTGAATCTGTTATGATGGATTACATTTTCTTATTTATGTAGCCTTCTTGCTCATACTGTATGATTTTTTTTTTTGATGTTTCTGGATTCTGTTGGCTAACATTTTATTGAGGAGCTTTGCATCTGTGTTCATCAAGGAGACTCGTCTATAGTTCTTTTTTGTTGTATCTTTGCCTGGTTTGGGGATGAGTGTGATATTGGCTTCATAGAATGAGTTTGGGATTGCTTTCTCTGTTTCTTAGAAGAGCTTGAGGAGTATAGGCATTAGTTCCTCTTGAAAGGTTGTATAGAATTCCATAGTGAATCCATCTGGTCCTAGGCTTTTTCTTGTTGGAAGTCTTCTGATTGATTCTTCTATCTCATTGTAAATTCTTGGCTTATTTATTTCTTCATTCAGTTTGAGCAATTTGTATTTCGTATAAATTCATCCATTTCTGTTAGGTTTTCCTTGGTAAATAGAGATTCTGGAAATAGTTCTTTATAATTGTTTGGATGTCTTTTGTAATTTTTCCTGTAGCATCTTACTGATTTGGGTCTCCTCTCTTTTTTGTTTAATCTTGCCAGAAGTCCATCAATTTTGATTTTCCCCCCACAAAAACCAACCTTTTGTTTTGTTAATTTTATAGTTTTCTTAGTCTCTATCTCATTAATTTCAGCCCTTATCTTGGTTATCTAGCTCCATCTAGTAACTTTGGGTTCAATTTTTTTCTTGCTTTGCTAGCAGTTTTAGTTGCATCGTGAGCTTACTTGGTCAGTCTCTATTTTCTTGATGTGTGCACTGAGAGCAATAAATTTACCCCCCTCAGGACTGCTTTTACCATGTCCCACACGTTTCTTTTTTTGTGGGGGGGTCCGGTCATGGGGCCTGAACTCTGGGTCTGGGCACTGTCCCTCAGCTCTTCAGCTCAAGGCTAGCACTCTACCACTTGAGCCACAGCACCACTTTCGGCTTTTTTCTTTTTATGTGGTGCTGAGGAATCGAACTCAGGGCCTCATGCATGCAAGGCAAGCGCTCTACCACTGAGCCACCTTCCCAGCCCCCAACGCGTTTCTTGTAAATTCATTTTCATTGAATTGTAGTAGTTTTTAATTTCTTCTGTGACCCAGGTGTTGTTCAGAAGTGTGCTGTTCAATTTCCATGTATTTGAGTAATTTCTACAGTATGCTTTGTCATTGAGAATTAGCTTGATTCCACTATAGTTGGATATAATACAAGGGCTTATGTTGATTCTCTTGCATTTGTTTAAATTCTTTGTATGAACTATGATACTATCTATTTTGGAGAAAGTTCCATGGGCTGCTGAGAATACGTACTGGGTTGTTGGGTGGAGAACTCTATAGATGTCAATTAATTCCACTTGAGATATGTCATTATTTAATTCGGAGTCTTGTTTGCCAATCCTCTGGTTGGTAGACCTGTCTTTTGGTGAGAGTGGAGTACTAAAGGCTACTAGTATTGTATTTCCATCTATTTCTTCCTGTAAGTCTGAGAGTATTTGCTTAACGTATTTGGGTGCACCAATGTTTGGTGATATCCTTTTCTTGGGCTGTTTGCTGTATTAATATGTAGTGTCCTTCTTTGTCTTTTTTGTATTGATTTTAATGGAAAGTTTATTTTGTCAGATATCAGGATGGCATCTCCTGCCTTCTTGCTGGGAGCGTTTGCATATTAGATTATTCTCCATCCCTTCACTAGGAGTTTGTTTATACCTTTGGCTGTGAGATGGGTCTCCTGAAGACAACAAAGGGTTGCATCTTGTTTTGTGATTCAATCTGCAGTTCTTTTTCTTTTGATTGGTGAATTGAATCCATTAATACTTATGGTTATTATAGAGGTGCTCTGTCATTTTCCTGCTTTCCTAAATTTTTCTTCTTTCCTTTCCTCCTTTGCTTACTAAGTTGGTCTTCTAGTGGTATCTGTCTGATGTGAATTCCCGGTCTTGTTTTCTTCAGATTTTAATCCCCTTCTTAATATTTTTTAATAGTATGGGCTTATTGTTTATGAATTCATTGTTTCTCTTTACTATTAAAATTTTTAATCAATTTACATCAAATGTGAATGCTAGCTTCGCTGGATATACCAGTCTGAGTTGGCAGTTATACTGGTTCTCAGGGCTCAGATGGTACTTTCCCATCCTTTCCTTGCATTGAGTGTTTGTGTGGTACAATCTGCAGTGATTCTGATTTTTTCTCCATTGTAGTATAGCTCCCTTGTTGTATAGCTCCCTTGTTTTTGCCATGTGCAAGATCATGTCTTTATTGTTCAGATCTAGTGTTTTTACTATGATGTTTCTGGAAGTGTTCCTCTTAGGTCCTGTTTGCTAGGTGTTCTGTATGCTTCTGTTATGTAAGACTTTTCTCTTTTAAGATTGGGGAAATTTTTGGAATCTTATTGAATAAGTGTTGCATCCCTCTGTTCTGGTATTCCTCACCTTCATTGACCCCAATTATATGAAGCTTAAATTTCTTGGCACTGCTTGTTCTTGGGCTTCTCTTTGGCACAGTTTAAGTGTTTTTCCCATATCTGTGACTTTTTTTTCCCTAGTTGCTGCATTTTATCTTCCTTACCTGATATTCTATTTTCCATTTCATTCACTCTATTAACTATGGCTTCCATTGGGTTTGCATGGAAAAAATGGAACCATTTATGATTTCTTTTTTTTTTGTCGGTCATAGGGTTTGAACTCTGGGTCTGGGCGCTGTCCCTCAGCTCTTCAGCTCAAGGCTAGCGCTCTACCACTTGAACTACACCG